TGCCACATACACCGCCCTCCACAATTCCTCTGTCCGATACAAACACTCTTCTTTATTATATATATAGATATACAGATACAGATATACACACAAAACACATCCATGTCAATGTAGATGCAGATCAGCTCCTGCTCTCGTTACCGCCTTTGTCACAAGTACATTTAGCGGAAACAAGAGACAGGGCCTTCTTGACGGTGGCCCCTCGGCTGTGGAACGCCCTCCCTATAGATATTAGATTGGCCACCTCCTTTTTAACATTCGGAGAAAAAGACAAGACGTGGCTTTTTGAACAAGTGTTTCCAAATGCAGAGTAACTGACATAGGAAATGGAACGACAACAAAGCGACACTATGAATTTATATTTTATTGATACATTTAATTTTTATTATATGTTATGTTTTTAATTGTATTTATAATATTGTAAGCATTGAATTTTACCCTGTTAACTGACTTGAGTCGCCTACGGGCTGAGAAAGACAGTATACAAATACAGTAAATGAATGAATGAATGAATGAATAAAGGCATTGTTGGAGTCACATTGAAATCAGCATTCCATACAGTTTAATAACTTAAAGCAATCCTATCTTGTCTAAATCTGGTGGTTTGCCTTGCCCCCTACTCTGTTTATGTACCCTTATCTGGACAATATGCAAACCATCAGATTCACCCTTGGAAAAATCCTAATGCATCTGGGCCTATCAGCAACACTGTCAGAAGACAAATGGTTCCTCCCCTCTCTCTCCTCAACTGCCAGGATGAAAAACTGAAAAGTCAGTCTTTGAAGGCGATAAGCACTTTCACAGGCAGGACTCTTCCTTGCTGGCATCACCACTATCCCTGCCCTTTTCATTCTTCTTTCTGCTCATCCTTTTAACATCAAGACAATTAGAACTATTCATTCCGCTCTAAAGCCACCTGCCACTGACCCATTCTCATTCACAAGCAGGAAAGGAGGAGGCTCACAATACAAAAAAGAGCCAATGCGGACAGTTGCAAACAAAGTTCTGGCAGAAAATGCCCTTTCGTGCTCCCTTGCCCTCCCCTCATGCATGTTCTTCCAGGGGCCACTTCCTTCAAAATCCATGGCTGATTCCTACAAGTCATGATGACTAATGCGGCTTTCCCAGATCAGAAATGTTGAACAGCAATAAGAGGAAGGCCACTGATGAAGTACTTGTAAATAAGAACTCTGTCTGAATGAGTTCCTTAGAGCCAGAGAGAAAACACTCTACCAGTGCCAAAGACAACGGGTGCCTGCATTGCCTCCTTATAAGTTGTCATAGTGGAGTATTGGGAAAAGTTTTTAATTAGCAATGTGATCCAATGGTAGGCCTCCAAAAATTGATAAATCTCCCAAAGCAGCAAGTTGTCAACATTGCCTCCTTATAAGGACAGCCTCTCAGCATTAGCCAGCAAGGTGCAGTAGATTCAGTGTTAGACTATGGATTTCATCACATGCAATAAAATCACAGTTTCTAGACATTTATGAAATGACGACTTACGGAGGCCATTACATGACGCAAGCTTGTGCCATGGTATGACAAAAGACGCAAGACTGGAGGCTTATTAATATTATGCCCAGGCAGGATGGATCTTCCCAGAGGATTTCCTTTCCTACAAAAAAAGAAAAAAGAAAAAAAATCCCACCCCTGTGCCCCCAATATGATAGTGAGACAATGATAGATATGTGTTATGGTGTTATTCCAGGCCAGGCCTCGCACGGAGACCCCCTCGCCTGCCCTGCCCCCTTGCCGGATGGCGAGAGAGCGAGGCAGGCTTTGTGCCAGGCCAGACCTTGCGCAGAGAACCTCTCGTCTGCCCTGCCTCCTTGCCAGATGGTGAGAGAGCGAAGGCAGGCTTCGTGCCAGGCCTGGCCTCACACGGAGAACCCCTCGCCTGCCCCACGCCCTCGCCGGATGGAGAAAGAGCGAGTCAGGCAAGGGGGGCTTTGCGCGAGGCCAGACCTCACGTGAAGGAGCCCTCGCCTGGCCTGTGCCCTTGGGGTGGGGCCAATGGAGGCAGCCTCGCGACCTCTCCGAAATGACCAGGCGACCCCCCTGGGGGTCGCGACCCCCAGGTTGAGAACCAGTGGTCTAGATCCAGGGAAGTCATGTTACCCTTCTATTCAGCCTTGGTTAGACCACACCTGGAATACTGCATCCACAATTGAAGGGAGATATTGACAAGCTGGAATGTGTCCAGAGGATGGCGACTAAAATGATCATGGGTCTGGAGAACAAGCCCTATGAGGAGCAGCTTAAAGAGCAGGGCATGTTTAGCCTGAAGAAGGGAAGGCGTAGAGGAGACATGATAGCCATGTATAAATATGTGGGAGGAAGTCATAGGGAAGAGGGAGCAAGCTTGTTTTCTGCTGCCCTGGAGACTAGGACGCAGAACAATGGCTTCAAACTACAAGAAAGGAGATTCCATCTGAACATTAGGAAGAACTTCCTGAATGTGAGAGCTGTTCAGCAGTGGAACTCTCTGCCCCGGAGTCTGGTGGAGGCTCCTTCTTTGGAGGCTTTTAAACAGGCTGGATGGCCATCTGTCAGGGGTGCTTTGAATGCAATTTTCCTGCTTCTTGGCAGGGGGTTGGACTGGATGGCCCATGAGGTCTCTTCCAACTCTATGATTCCATGATTCTGTGATTCTATGATTCCCAGAACCTGGAAAAAAAGTTTTGAGGAACCACATCGCAGTGTGAGAGATGAAGTCCAAAAAGTAACTTTCCCAATGTTCTGGGAATTTTAGCACATACAGCACCCCTGGCAAGCCTTTGCAAGAACAGCTATATAAGGAAACTTGCAGAGTTTTTGCCACATTTGTTTCCGATGATTCAGCTAAGCCAGGCACTTTTATTTTACTCTTCTCTCTGGAGTAAAAATAGCAGAGAGATACATGAACCTGTCCCTCTTAACTATGGGAGCCTGAACAGAGGAAGCAAAGACCCCCATGGTCTGCACAGGGTAGAGGGAATCTATTTGTCTCATGGCATAAGTTATACTCGAGACTTGGATTATATAAATATCTCACAGCAGCTTTCTAGGCCGGATTTAGCAGAGGACTGGGGAACAATGTGAAACACTGAAGGGGTAGAAATCAGAAAGGACCGTGCATAAGATTAATGCATGGTAGATGTGGGAGAAGGGAAAGGAAATCTGAAGCAGAAAAGTGACAAGTCATACTCCCCAACATTTCACAGACAAAACCTATGTGTGATCAAAATATGTCAAGATGGCAAATGTTATTAATTAGGAAGAATACACAAGCTAAGAAAGACTGCAGCAGTTTGCTTTTGCCTAAGCTTACTGGGGAGGGGGAAATTCAGCCACTCTTTTAACTCTTCCCTCCTGCTGTGCAAATGGAGTTCAAACTAATTTTGTATTAATCTGCAGCAAGTATAGTAAGCTGACACAAGAAAGGGAAAGGGGGAGGAAGAGAAAGAAAGTGGGACACTTCAAAAGGAGCAAGAAAGTGGAACAAGAAGGATTATGGGGTCATTTCCTGGCAAAATGGGACAGATGGCAGGTAAAGAAAGAGTTTACCATCTCCCCTCCCATCCCACTTTATATTCTACCCTTCAAATGTGTTTTTCTTAAAACTAAAAGCAGCTTACCAATTCTGGTACAAATATAGTCACATGCCCGGTTCAATCCAGGGAGAGCACAGATGAGCTCCCTCTATCAGCTCCAGCTCCCCATGCGGGGACATGAGAGAAGCCTCCCACAAGGATGATAAAGCATCAAAACATCCGGGCGTCACCTGGGCAACGTCCTTGCAGACAGCCAATTCTCTCACACCAGAAGCGACTTGCAGTTTCTCAAGTTGCTCCTGACATGACAAAAAAAAAGAAGAAGAAGCATTAACTGGGGACAACAAAGATGGTTGGGTTGTTGTAGGTTTTTCGGGCTTAGCATCATGTTAGTCGCCCTGAGTCCCCTTTTAAGCTTGATTCTGCTCCTGTATTGCTTAAGCTCAATCACTCTACTGCTGGTAATAGATTACATGGGTTGTTGTAGTTTTTTTCGGGCTATATGGTCATGTTCTAGAAGCATTCTCTCCTGACGTTTCGCCTGCATCTATGGCAGGCATCCTCAGAGGTTGTGAGGTGTGATGGTTCTTGAAGATGCTTTGAGTCTCCTCGTGGAGAGAAAAAGCAAAATACAAAGAAACACAAAAACAACAACAATAATAACATGTAACAAAATTTTAAACAAATTCTGTTCCTGGTTTGAAAGTGTTAATTCCTGTTTAATTGTGTGATAGTTACTTTGAAAGTAGTTGTTACACTTTAGAAACCTCGTTTTTGTGGCTACGCCAAACTCTGCTGAACTGGTTGAGACTCAATGAGATATTCATTGAAAAAGTATAGCAAAATGTGCTGCAGGATGCTTCGCAAAAACAAAGTTTTTGCAGTTTGATCAATCTTTTCCATGTTTTTATGCTAGAACCTATTAGGAAATCAGATTTGTAGCCCAGAAACAAAAATTGTGTTACATGGTGTAATTGAAGTGCAGCCACTATTAACTTGGACCAGCAGTTACAGCAAGTTTCTGCTCATATTTGATACTTTGATTTTCCTTTTGAAAATTACTTTTGTAAGCAGAGGAGAGGATAAATTATAATATTTGTTTATTTATTTACCCTACATGTTGCAAAAAAATCCAAATTGGGAAGTGTGTTGATTATCCACAGTAGTCGAGCAGCTCAATGTGGAATTAAAAAGACTAACGTGCATTTCTGTGTTAAATTGTGGCTGAGCTAGAGATAATGCTAATGATGACATATGACATGGTGACTTCCATATACATTGGTTTATAGCCCTCCTAGTTATCAGGACCTGAAATGGTGGGAACTACATTTAACACATTTGGATAGCACCAGGTTAGGGAAGACTACTGTTAACTGCTTTGAGTTGCCTGAGGGCTGAGAAAAGTGGTATACAAATATAGTAAATAAATACTGTTGTCTACAAAACCTCACACCACTTGCCTCAACATTAGCCTGCAATCCTTTGTATATATTCTAGAGAACAATAAGTCTCATTAAACACAGTGGGGTTAATCTCTGTGTAGGCACGTCTAGCATTGCATTGTACGCATCTCCAAAGTGATGCAACTTGTTTGGTGGGTCTGTGTTGCCATCACATTCTAAAGTGTGTTTGTAAAACCAAAAGTCTTTGTGGAATATACAGTTGTAATATGCAACTTCTAGTGAACTTATCCCACATTCTTATTACATTTGCATAAATGTGTGTGTGACTTCATATTGCCTGTTGATTAATTTAAAACCCCATTAATTTCATAACATTTTCTCAGGCAAGGAATCCTCAAAGGTGGTTTTGTAAGCTCCTTTCTCTGAAATACAGCCTACAACACCTAGCATTTATTGGTGGTCTCTCATCCAGGTACTTACCTGGATCTACCCTGCTTAGCTGGAAGAAGACCACCAGCATTGAAGCGATGGTCCCCGCTATCAACTCCGCTATCAACTCCGCTGGACCAGCCACGTTGTCCGGATGCTCGACCACCGTCTCCCAAAGCAGTTGCTCTACTCCGAACTCAAGAATGGAAAATGGAATCTTGGAGGACAGGAAAAGAGATTTAAAGATGGGCTCAAAGACAACCTTAAAAACTCTGGCATAGACACTGAGAACTGGGAAGCCCTGGCCCTTGAGCGCTCCAGCTGGAGGTTAGCTGTGACCAGGAGTGCTGCAGAATTTGAGGAGGCACGAATGGAGAGTGAAAGAGAGAAATGCGCCAAGAGGAAGGCACGTCAAGCCAACCCCGACTGAAACTGCTTTCCACCTGGAAACCAATGCCCTCACTGTGGGAGAACATGCAGGTCAAGAATAGGGCTCCACAGTCATTTATGGATCCACAAGAATACTGATCCTTGAAGACTATCCTACTCGGCCAACGAGGGATTGCCTAAGTAAGTAAGTACGCTTAGCTTCCAAGCTTACAAGTTGACCATATTGTTGTTACATGCTTTCAAGTCATTTCAGATTCATTGCCACCATAAGTCAAAATTATCACAGGGTTTTCTGAGCAAGATTTACTGTGGGGGGTGCATTTGCCTTTCTTTGAGGCCAAGAGAGTGTGACGTGCCCAAGGTTAACCAGCAAGTTTGACATATTCACACACACAAAAATAAGAGTTTGAGGGTTTTTTGTGGGGCATAATGTAAAATAAACTACATGTAGTTCATGTTGGATCAGCCCACGCACTGCCTTGCCAGGGAAAGAAAATATGCCACGTATATGAACAATAAAGAACAAGTAGTTTACTCATTGTAATTCAGAACAAGATATTTACAATCATGTGACCTGTTGCATCAACTCACATAAAAAAATTTTGTCGTGTCAGGAGCGACTTGAGAAACTGCAAGTCGCTTCTGGTGTGAGAGAATTGTCCGTCTGCAAGGACGTTGCCCAGGGGACGGCCAGATGATCTGATATTTTATCATCCTTGTGGGAAGCTTCTCTCATGTCCCCACATGGGGAGCTGGAGCTGATAGAGGGAGCTCATCCGCCTTTCCCCGGATTTGAACCTGCGACCTGTCGGTTTTCAGTCCTGCCGGCACAGGGATTTTAACCCACTGTGCCACCGGGGGCTCCAACTCACATAATATCCTTTTATGAGAGATTTAAAATGGTCTTTCTTAAAATGGTTCATGTAGAGAAACTCCTTCAGCAGCTCATGTTTTTCTCTATGCTACTCTCTGAGCACCTGCATAGCTCAAGCCTGAAAAATGTAACAGTATCCGAAAGTCCCAGGCTCAACCATCTCCCCGGGCATAGTCCGACCAATCTTATTTTAGCTTATTTCTTGCATGCTCCCACATTCTGCATAGTACAGTGGCATTGTAGAAGTCTTCAAAATGAATGTAGGGCTAGCCCCTTTTAGTCACTTTTAGTCTGATTATAATTCTGCA